TTACATCATTGCATGATAACTGCAGTAATGTATGTTAGCTTCTAGTTGACAATGAGGACACCCAAAATCTAGAATGATTTTTCCATTGTAATTTTCACTCAGAAAGTTTAAAAGACCTTTTGTAAATGTTAGATGGGAAAAACTTCAGAATCTCTGGCAATCAAAGTCCTGAGACAGATGAGTCTGTGCCTGCAGCCTGAAAAAAGGGTCACAGCCACATGCTTGGACTTCAGTCATGAAGCAGCAATAGTAGACAACATTTTGGTATAAAAGTTATACAGATGAAACTTAAAATAGTATTTTTTCAAATATGTAGTATTTTATGTATCCTGTTTTCAGCACTAGTCAGATTTGTTTTAATGGTTTCTTACTCTCTTTATTTAACTTTGAACCAATATGAATAACATGCATCTATTCCATCCTTGTCTGACAGACACCAAACCATTTTATGCTTGATTTGTGAACTTTTTTTTTGAATGTGTGTCATCAATTTGAGAAAATATTACTCCTGAATGGGAAAAAAAAAATCAATTTATTTTGGTTTTTTTCCATCTAATGCACACATCATAAAATTGACTTAATTTTAGCTAATTTCACTAGTTTTCAAATAACTTTCAATGGTATGTCTTGGTTGTTATTTTACTGATCAACCAAGTCAAACTACAATAAAGTTGAGAGTCATTTATGTAGATCTACTGTTTTCAATCTGCAGAGTGCAATGGGCTGAACAGTCAAAACTTAGCAAGCAGAGCTAGTGGAAAGGATATTGCATACGTGTGGTTCACCTGCATTACCAAAAGGCAGCCATCAGCTGAAGGGATGCATTTGAAAAGGAGAAAAAAAGATGTTCCAGCATGTAATGCAGCCAGCTGAAGTATGAACAAAGCTGAGATTAATTATATTTGTTCCATCTTTCTTTTTTTCTCTTTTCCAATTTTTTTTATTTTGTGTTTTTGTTTGGGTTTTTTTTAAATGAATTTTTTTTTAATCTATGACACTTTTATACTGAGGGAAATTTGTCAGGAAGATGTTAATGTTGACTTTTTTCTGCTACTAGACATACAACCTTCACCTAATGGTGGAAAACCTCCACTCTCTTCAGTAGTTTAAACACTATTTCCCAGAGGTAAGAGTGATGATTTCAAATTATGGCCATTTAGTTCAGATTCAGTATATCCATGGGACGTCATAACTTGTTTAGCAGTCTGCTACACTCTCAGGCAAACTGTTCTCTGCTTCATGATTTTTTCATAAACAGCAGCAACAACAACATGAAGGGTTTTAAAGCAGATTGAAAAACAGGGTAGTTATCTATTATCCACAAAAATAATTTGCAAAACTCTAGGACATCCTGTTCTTCTTCTACCTACAGCCTTATTTTACTAGAAAGTGATGGTGAATTTGGAAGATGATAGGAAAAAGAATAACTGTCTTCTTGCCAAGCTTAGAAACAGCAAAACCCTACTTCTATTACTGTAGTACTTGTCAATATGTAAAGTGATATTTCAGTAAACACACAATATTTTTAGCACCAGGATGGGTGAACTTAGCATAAGAGATTTTATAATTTCTTTTACAATTTGAAAATGTACCCTGATATAAGAAAATTAAATAAATGCACATGAATTTCAGATATCTAATTTAGCCATCTATTATTACTCTACTTGAGTTCATTTGAATCAACAGGCACACTTAATACCTAGATGGAAGGTGAGTTATTGTCAATCGCTATGCTGGATGACAAACTCCAGTGGTGCAACAGACAGGCTGCAACAAACAGTAGTTGGATTCTGAGCAAGAGGCAAAGTCCATATTGCAGTGCCTCTACCTGCTCTGCCTATGTATTTCTATAATCTCAGTAGCCAAAATATACAATAGCTTATAAAACTGGCCTCTCTGTAGAAGCTCAACAGTTGGCAGTTAGGCCCTCAAGAAAAATAGGAGTGGTTTGTGGTTCTCCTCTCTACAGGGTTTGACCAGAAGTCCTGTATGGCAGCTCATGATGGAGAGGAGACAGATGAGGAGTTTCTGTTTCTGAGCTTTGTATCCAAATAACAAAAAATAAAGATAGGAAAACCAAAAGGCAAAACACTGTAGAAGGATCAAATGGTAAAAATCATTATCTCTTCACACAATATGTAATTAGTCTGAGAGTTCACTTTTCAATGAGTTGAGGCAAAACCCAGTAACATTTAAGGGGTTCTGACCTTTTGTGTAAATAATATTATCAAAAGTGATAAAGAGTTTATGCAAATAAAGAGCATGACAAGTGTCATCCTTTGAGGTTTAACTACAAATTAACAATTTTTTATTTTCCTGGGGCTTATTCTGTCCCTAGAGTGACCCAGTGCTGCTTGCTGTCAGCATGGCATACCAGGACATACAACTGACTTGGGCTGGCATCTCCCATCTGCTTATGTGACTGGCACGTTTTCTATATCACTATGTCCTTAGTATAATCAGAACCAGTTGTCCTAATGAAATATACTGTTAAACAGCCCTACCCTGAAATTTTTGCCATCTAAAACACTAGAAAACAGAATTTCTCACTAACACTTTCCATTCTTTCATTACAGCTGTGAAGACCTAATACAAAACATGTTCCCAAAACAAACAACACAAGCACTAACATAACTTTGGCAAAGAAAAGCTGGAAAGAAAACTGGTTTCCTTTACTTAGCTATATATATACCAATATATTTACGAATGGGTATTTCTTCAAAGCAGATGCATTGGGCTGTCCCTATTCATGAGATGCTCTGAAAGTCACCTCATACAGAACTAAAAGACACAAGGTATTATGAACATTCCTTCCAGGATGAGAAATATTTAATCTTCATTTTTTCCAAAACATCTCCTGCCTGTTTTCATTTGCCAGAAGTATCTAGTATCTTCCCTCGTGCTGCAGTGAAATTATACAAAACAAATACATAAGATAAACTGTATGATGAAGAAATTGTCCCATAGAGGTGGACATTTTGTTCTAGCCTTGCCACGTTTGAAGCACTCGTGCACAGGCTTATTTGCAAACCTTGGATGAATTTCTTTCCCCTGCTCGCTCTCTGTCTTTATTTTAGCAACTTAAAATCCTTGCTTAGCAGAAAAGTTAATCATTTAAACCTTTTACTAATTAAAAATTGCACACAGACCAAGGAAAAGGAAAAACTATCACTCATTTCATACAGTGCTAATTACAGGTCAAATGTTATTATTTATGATTGATTTATTGCTACTGTCTACAAAAGCCAAATTAACCCCCCATACCTTATTAACCCCCTGCATTCTGTCCTGTAAACAGTGGGGTTTTTTCCATGTCTGAATGGGCCATAGTTAGCATTCGGTTTCTTAAGGCAAAAAGATTGCTTCTGTCCTAATGGGACAGTAGTAAAGTATTGTGCAAGAAACTATTCTATGTGATTTATGAGTTTATTCCCTTCCTCACTGGAGTAGCTTCAGTCCTGAACAGTACAAGATTTAGAGGCCGGGAGGAGTGGTTTATACTCACATACTATTGAGGACTATGACTGCTACTGCTGCTGCTTGGAATCCAAGGCTTGCCCTCTAGAAACTATGGAGACAGTTCTCAGTGAGGGAGCAGATATATAATCAGCAAGCCCTCGTATTGCTCAGATTACCCAGATCTCTTGATATGCCTGGGTTCACACATGAAAGCAACATCTTGAAGATCACTTATTTTTTTAAATATGGAAAAGTATAAACTGTGATTAGAATTAAGCTCTAGTCTCTGCAATTTCAGATTTTGAGGTGAATGTAGAATCACACTTTGGTATGAAACTAACAAGAAATAAGAATTTGCCCACACACTTCAACTTATTTTTATTTTTTTTTTAATCCATGGGAATGGAATAAGAAGGCACTGGTTTTCCAGTCATTTCAGTAGATGCCTTTGCCTGTCTTTTCTTCAAGCAGACTTTTGTACATGGTCAACTCAATAAATGCTTGTACTAGGAGACCAAACTGTTCACAGATAAAGTTAAAACACACAATATTCAATATTCTGATGTTACAGTTCAACGCTTTGCTCTGTTTCCTAACTTCACTAAACAACATCATTTATTAAAATATTAGACACAGGAAATGACTTGGACTGTATGGTCACCCTTTGATGCATTAACACCAATTCTGTAAGCACATGAATGAAAATACAAAAGAAAGAAATGGAAAATTGTATCACATTTTTAATACTACAACATATAAGGTATCACAGATGGCAAGAAGCCATAAATTTTCGGTCCTGAGTTTTCTGTCATACATATGTCATATCAGATATCTGTTAATATTTATCACATATACCATGTTTACTTCAGGTAAATATTTTCCTAAAGTAGATAGAAAAAATATTTGCTAGAAATATTTTGCAGGTAGAACTTACGTATACTGTAGAGTGGAAAAGACACCAAATGACTTGTTCATGTTCGGTTGCAAGCTAGTAACTGGGGAGGAATAAAATCCCAGATGCCTGACTGGGTACCCAGACTTCATCTTTGTATCAGGTCATTTTACTTCTGCTTGTTGGGAGGGCTTTGCTGGTATGGAAGACTTCCTACCTGAAATTGAATATGTAAGATATGCTCTGCACACTTAGCAGCTCACAAAGCCACATTTGACCAATGCAATGCTGTTATAGTCAGCGTGGCTGGGACGATGGGCTACTAAACCTAGTGAATTATCTGTTCCTGATACAAGTGCAGAAGTCTTACCACTTAAATGGTGAACATGCAAGGAGATTTCAATTTCAGCAGCTGGCAGCCACTGTCCAGGCCACTTTTTTATCTCTTGCTATATTTTAAAGGGTGTTGCCAAGGGTGTTATCAAGCATGCTGGCTGCTTGCCTGAATTGAAAGACACCAGAATTTTTTCACACCGAGCTGGAAATTTCAATGTAGTTCAAGAGCTCTACTGATTACTTCTTATGGTCTGATACATACAAGTAAGTTGAATTTTCCCATCAATAAAATAAAAATCATTCAGACACTTACTTGCTGCTCAGACAACGTCTCAGTGAATATGAAGCCCCTCCTCCACAAGTGCGTGAACATTCACTCCATGAACCCCAGGCATCCCACAGCGAGTCTCGATCTTCCTCTGAGCGAGCTGTTCTGGAGCTCTGAAGAGAGGGAGAAGGAAAAAAAAAAATCAGGAAAGAAAGGTTAAAAAAATACTGCTGCTAGTTTAATGTGGGTTTTTCCTAACTAGATATCATCCTAGTTATTGAAAGTGCTGAATAAATTGAATAAACCTGTTCTTCTCTTACATGCCTACTGATTGGTAGCCAGTTCTTTAGTCGTGATTGGTGTATGAATTCACTTTCATCCCTTGAATATCCTACTTTGTCTCAGAGTTTGAAGCTAGTGAAGACCATTCTAAAGGAGCACTTTGGACAACAGTGAGACAAAGGATTTTTTCTGATTAAAAGGGAGAGTTAGAGTATTATAGACATAATAAACTTTGCTCTGAAATTGTGCTGCTATTTTAGAAACTATGAAAGGGTATACTGAAAGGTGTCTTCAAAGACGGTCTTAAGAAAAAACTGAAACACAACAAAGTGAATCAACACGATACAAAGGTATTAAAGATAATGACTTTCACACACTCACCATAAGAAATTAGAACTATCATTACTTTGTCTCTGCCTGAAGATCTCCTATAAAACTTGCTGGACTAAGGTTTCTCTAGCTGTTTTATCCCTAGTATTTGAGAGTTTAAAAAAGAAAGTGCAAGTTACCTGAAGAGCCGGTTAAGCACTGTCAGGCACAGACCCAGGCAGTGCTATTGTTAATGCCAGTGGTTGCGCAGAAAGAACCTTATAAAGAAGCAGCACTGACGGACTCAGAAATACTCAGCTCTTTGAGGATTAAGTCATAAATGCACAGCAATACCGCCCCAAATAAAGCAGCTATATCTGTATTTAGCACTTCATTTTCATTCATGCAAATGCACTTCAGACACAGATTCATATGGACACAAATGATTTAACAGTTTAGATAGATATTGTTCCTCATGGTCAACATGGTTGTGCTGAAAAAACCTGAATAATCTCGCACAGATGCATGTGATATGTCTGTGTCTGATGGAGACCAGGCAGTATTCTCCTTCAAAGCTTGATTTGTGCTGTGTGACAGTACTAGTGAATAACTTTTTAAGTGTATTTGAAATAAATAAGTAGGCAAAACAACCATATGAGGGAGACTTAAGTGGCTCACCTTGAACAGAGAAACATCAGCATCACAGCCAGCTCATGTTACATCAATCAACTTCAGCTTTCATAGTACCATAGAACATGCTGAGTTGGAAAAGAACCATCAGGATCATTGAGTTCAACTCCTGGCCCTGTGCAGGACACTCCAAGAGTCACACCATGTGCCTGAAAGTATCATTCAAATGCTTTGTGAACTCAGACAGGGTTGGAACTGTGACCACTTCCCTGGAGAGGCCATTCCAGTGTTCAACTAATCCCTGCATGAAAAACATTTTCCTGATATTCAACCTAAACCTTCCCCAACTCAGCTTCATAATGTTTCCTTGAGTCCTGTCAATGATCACCACAGAGAGGAGATCAGTGCCTGCCCCTCTGCTTCCCCTCATGCAATAGCTGTAGACCACAATGAGGTCTCATCTACAGGTTGAGCAAACCAGGTGGCTTCAGCCGTACCTTATACGGTTTACCCTCAAGGCCCCTCACCATCTTTGTCGTCCTCCTTTGGACACTTCCTAATTTCTTAGTATCTTTCCTGTACTGTGGTGCCCAAAACTGCACACAATAGTCAAGGTGAGGCCACCCCAGTGCAGAGCAGAGTGGGACAATCCCTCACGTTGACCAGCTGGCGATGCTTTGCCTGATGCCCCCCAGGACACGGTTGGCCCTCCTGGCTGCCAGAAGGCATACTGAACTTGCCATGGACCAGAGCCTCTTGGTTGATGGCAACCTAATAGATTATTTGAGAGAGCTTAACAGTGAAATAATTTTACCTTCAGTGAAGCTATGTAGAAGTTTGGTAATGCAATATGGCAAAATATACCAGTCTTGAATATTGTTATTCGTATGCAAAAACAGAACATTAATTTAGTCTGTGAGAGATGATACCAGATTTGTCTAATGTGCGTAAAAAAATTATTTTATATTCTCATTTTATCTTACCTTTATTAAAATGCAAAAAGTTTTGATTTCAGCGCAATAATTGCAAGGGTAAACATAAAAACTAAAGTTACATAAGTCATCAGATTTCAACTATGGCCAGATGTGTACCAGTCTCTAGATCTCATTAACATTTACACATGAGATAGGAGAAGATACAGACATGTGTCTGTTTACAAGAAAACAAATACCTTCCAACTACAGATGGGTGCATGTCGTGATCATTCACCACTGGTTGAAAGCCCAAAGACATAATTAAAATGGGTTGCAAGGTAAAGTCATGTGAACAAATTACTCTTACCTCACCATAAATTATAGGCATCAGCATAGCTAGACATTCAGAAAGGGTTCAGATTTTCCCAACATAAATTGTAATTTCATCCAGAGGAGATCCATGAGCCTGTTACTTTCATTCCAAGATTTGCTATAAGACCTATATATACCCAGAAAACACGTGATCACAAACTGGAACAGGCTCGAAGTTTTCTTTCAGCAGGTGAAATAAACATAATTCATTTCAACTCCATTCACGTCTAATGTTAAAGAAAGTAAAGTGGTTTTGCATTCTGTGAATTACATGGGTAAGGTTGAGCTTGAAATTCTAGTAATACCTGAAAAGTAATTTTTAATCTGAAGACAGTTGTCCATTACAGGTCTATTCCAGCTTCAAAGGATATATAGAAATTACTAGCTAAGAATTTCCTGTTAAGTACAGACTTTTTCAAAAGTAGCTTATAAGGGTAGTTAGCAATTTCTACCCACTTTCAGCAAAATGAACTGCACTTAAAATTTAATATTAAAGTGACAGTCAAGAGTTCTGCAATGCAAGAACTGCTACAGTATTCCTTTGAAGTCCTAAAGTTCCTGTCATAACAAGTAAACAGAGGCAAAAAAAAAAAAAAAGGAGAAAAAAAGTAAAGGGGGGTACATGCCCCTAAAGCTGCAAGGAATAAAGCTGCCACCACTTAAAGCCTTTAAGTCTTACTTTAAGTAACACCCCCCCCTTAGAAAAAGTCCTTTACCTCTGGCAGAGGTACCCCAGACAGGTGCTTCTCAAAATGCCACTGTATGTTAAAGATGTAAAATGCAGTCACCAAGATTCATTATGCCCTGCTGCTGGTACCAGAAGACCTGCCTTATCCCTTCTGTCCATTCTAGGGAGGGTCTCAGCCTGAGCTTCCCATGAAACACCCACTCTTCTGTCCACACAAAACTCAGGATATCCTGACATCAAGAGCATCAAGTCAGAAATGTTACCTGCAATCAGTGACCTACATAAAACAAATAAATCTGCTAATACCAATCAAAACCAGCTCTTTCTTAGTACCTTATTATCTTAATACACACTTAATCTGATAGTGATCTTGCAGCTACCACCCAACCCCTCAGCTAAAGTGGGAACAGGCAGGAGAATTCCCAAAGAGTAGCTTAATGAGAAAGAGGATGAACAGTTTGTGCTATTGGACCAGAAAGCAAAAAAGGATCATGTACCAAAAATGAAATCACTGGAAACAAGGTACTCAGGTGAAGATGCTTAAGTAGTAAAAAAAAAAAAAAAGTCTTTAAACTACAAGTCAACTTCTTATAATACAAATGAAAGTAATCTGACATAATCAAGTAAGACTAAAAGAGTATCCAATTTGACTTTTTAAAAAAAATCTAGGTTTAGTGTTTTAACAGTAATTTCCAAATTTATTAAAGAGTTGTCAGGTATTCAGGTATTCATATTAAGAGGTCTTTCCTACCCTTTCCACTAACACACAGTACAGAGAAATAACTTAAACTATCTGGAATAGTATGTGAAAAACACAAGTGTCACACCTCCTTAAATCACTACAGCTACATGGACATCCAGGAGTCACAGCCCTGATAAGAACTACATCTCTTCTAAAACCATGTGTGTGAAAACGCGTTTGGGTGCACAGAGGCAGAAACATGAAGAGTAGCACAACTTCTGTTCATGTCCTAAGGTCTGTAATATAAGTTCAACTTCAAAAAAATAAATCTTAGTCACATACTGAAAATCATATACTGAAAATGAATGTAAAATTTTGTATGTAACAGTGTGATCCCTACAGAATTCAACTGTCAGTGTGACATAGGAAGGAGTGTGTATAAATGCAGATCATGTTGTTTAACTTTTCCTCTGCTTCTGAGGCATCCAGTCTTCCACCCCAGTAAAATGCTGCTGAGGCCGTATTTTTCAAGCACCCAGTGTGTTCCCTAGATTAAAGAGCAATACAAATAGTGAAAAATGCACTTAAATGCTTGTTGGACCTAAGGTACTGATAAATAATTTAAGACAGTAATTTCACAGATAATATGAACTGCTGAGTTTGGTTAAGAAATTTATATCATCTGGTTCTTATCATATCCCCACTGTTTCAGGGTATGATGAACTGTCAGTGATAATATGCAAGGTTCTTCTGAGGCCACTGCCTAAATTTGTCTTTCATTACTTTGAAAATCATGTTAGGTACAGAAAACTAGTACTTTTTCCTACACAGATCTTTCTGCCCTCCTTTTTCAGATAAGTCTAAGTGCATCCCTATGTGAATTCTTGCCAAGCCACACATTCGCCTTCTTTGAGTAATGCTTGATCATCCTTTGATGTTAGTTTGTCACTGAGATTAAATATATATTTCACACAGTACTAAAATGCTGTCTGTAGTGAACCAGGAAGAAACTGCTCTCATCACTTATCTAGGTGTGTAACAGCAGGAGACAAGGCCAGTGACCTCACCTCATTATTAAAAATAAATTTAAAAAAAAGTATTTCAAAGCTTCATACAATGTAAATACGTGGTTTGTAAGATTTCATTTGCACAATGTTATGTATCTTTTTTGCATTCTATCCAAGGTAACAGCCGGATTATAGCCCAGATGGGAAACTGCTTGGAAATCTCTGACTTTTGAAAGAAGGCAGGGCAGAATAAATTTGCAGCCACTTGAATTAATATTGGTAGTTACTG